CCAGCACAGAGGACCCATGTAACTATAATGAGCTCTTGTTCCACCAAGAAAACAACAACAACAAAAAACCCTCAGGTACAGCCCCAGGCGGGGAATGGAGGCCAGGGGAGCCCAGCCCCAACACTTCTGCCCAGAGGGCCACTCCCAGGTTCACAGGGTGAGGTCACTGAGACCACAGGGAGGGATTCACATCACACACTGACCCCCAACTCCTGCCCATTCAACCCCTACTCCTAATAAGGGGGTAAGCAGAAGCTTCCAGAAGGGAAAGTCAGGCATCAGAGACAGGCACTAGCCCTGCGCCCACATTTTCTCTGTCTCCCTTGTCCTCTCTCTCCGGCCATGGCTGCCCTCTGAGACCTGCTGAACCACAGCCCTGGGCAGGTGGTGACTGTGAGGACACAGAGCCCCAGGGGCAGGAACGCGACCCAGCCACACAGCAGGGCAGGGGTGGAGCAGGAAGCCTGGCCATTCCCTGAAGGGCCTGTCCAGCGCATCTGTGCCCTGCAGACCACAGCACAAGGAGCTCTGAGAAGAGTGAAGGGTCTCCGTCCCTGTCCCCGACACCGCCTTCCCTAGCGCTGCAGAATCCTGCCACAGAGGACGCAGGGAACCACGGGTACAGAAACGCAGCCCTGAGTTGGTCCAGCACTGTCGCCTGGCCACGGCAGGCCATGCAGATGCCAGGCCCCAGGTGCGAGCCCTGACTCAGTCCCCGTGGCAGCTGCAAAGAGGGCCCTGCTCCTGCATTCCTCCAGCCCCCATGCCATGCCGAGGAGTCTGCCAGAGCCTCCATCCCGAAGGGGCACTGTCCAGGACTTCCCGGGGTGGGTGGGAGAGCCCACGGTGCCAGTAGGCTGCAGAGTGGCCCCTCTGTGCTCTGCTGTCCCTGACACACCTGGCCCAGGAAGCCCAGCACAGGAGCAGAGACATGTGGAGAGAGGTCCAGCCGTGACCATCCAGCTAGTAGCCGGCCGCACTGGGCATGCCAGGGAGCCACCAGGATCAAGAGGGCCCCAGGCCGGGCCCAGCTAAAGCCCAGCCCTTGAGAAACGAGTGCTCATTGTTTTGTGGTCTTTCCTCACCCAGAATTGCTATGACAATGATTGACAGGGCCCCCGAGTCCCGGTAATGCCACCTGCTCTGAGATGCTCCAGGCCAGCCCTTCAAGCAACAGAGAGGCCAAGGGCTTGTTCAGGGTCACACAGGAGTAGTTCCAAATCTAGAAGCCTCTTGGGACCTGTCCCCACTGCACGAGAGCCCAGCAGGCACCTGTCATTCAGTCCCAAACCTGCCTCAGGAGGCCCACAGCCTTGTGGGAGAGTCATGGATGGCTGGAATGACAGGACTGACAGAAGAGGGGACATTGTAGGAGGCAAGCAGGAAGGGACAGCCATCAAGACTTGCAGGACAAGATCAGTTCCAGTAGCTGGCCAGTGGAGAGGCAGGAAGGGTCAGTCTTCTGGATGGAAGGACCAGTAAAGGCAAAGGAAGCACTCAGTCTACTGTAATGCATGGCTACTGCCCCGCCCTGTGCAAAGCCCCTGACCTGAAGGGCCACAGCTGCCCCTCCCATAGGATCCATCAGACTCTAGCAAAGGAAAAGCAATCAAACACAGAGCTGCTGCTGCCTGAGCTCCCGCGAGCGGTATCCCCTGCACTGCCTCCCAAGCTCCCATGAGCCCATAGGAAAGGGGATGATTACTCCCCCAAACATGAGCAGACTGCAGCCCAGAGAGGTTCAGGAACATACCCAAGACCCACAGCCTCTGGAAAGCAGAGACAGGACCCAAACCCGGTCTGTGAGATTCCTAAGGTGGCATATCCCCTCAGGTGGGAAGGCCTGGTCCTGATGGGATGGCCCCAGCCAATTGGTATTGGCACCCTGCCATAGCCCAGGGGCCCTGGCGACACCATTCACCAAATGTTTGCTCTGAGACAACGGCCAGAGAGCCTCCCAGGCTGTGGCCCAGCTGTGGGGCCATCACAGGCTCAGCGACTTCTTCCTTCTGCCAGTTCCCTCTGGCTTCTTAGCGGCCATCCCCTGGCCCCAGGACACACCCACAAACCATGAAATTCCAAAAGCAAAATAAACCAGGCCAAGGCCCGCTCATTCCCAGGAAGCCAAGGCTCACACCTCTGGCCTGGCAGGTCCTGCTCAGCATGTGCCCGGGAACCCTGCAGCCTGCTCAGCCAGCTCCATGTCCCCAGGCTGCGCTCCTGGTCCTGCAAGCCAAGACCAAGTCACTTCATCCTGCTGCACCCCAGTCCTCCTCGCCAGATGGGCCCCTTCAGCCCCCAGAGGAGCCGGAGGAAAAACCTCCAGCTAACCAGCAAGTCTGCTTCCAAGTCTCTGTTTTATCATCTGCAAAATGGGGCTAGTACTAGTCTCTGGGGAATTGTTAGGATTGTCACCATCTCCACAGAGAGTCCTGGGACCATGTGGTGTGGCCCGAACCTCTCCCCTCTCCACTCCCAGCCAGAAAATCTGGTCACTTCACATTAGTTAAGGGCCGTCTCTGAGTCCCAGATCCAACCCAAAGCATTTCCCACCTGATTTCTGCCATGGGAATTATGGTGTCTCCTCTGGGGTGGCTGTGACATGTGCCACATGAGCCAGAGCTCCTGGGGAGAGACCCACCTGGAGTAAGACTTGGGCAACAGGAGACATAGCCAAAAGCCAGGTCAAGCACCTGGCTGCAGCCAGGACTTTTCACTGACTGGAGCCAGGAAATCCCTTCTTTGCTTAATTTAGTTTGTATTGTTTCAGCCAGGTACAAACCTCAAGGGTCCCAACAAAACATAATTTTTGGAGACTGGAAAATAACTGGTTCTAAGAGGACTTGCAGAGACGGGATTCTGTGAAAGGAAGCCCCTCCACTATGTGTTGACCTGGAAAGAAGGAGGGGCTGAACGTAAGCTCCAGAAGAACCCAAAAGTGGGATTTCCAGGGAGGCTTGTGGCAGAAGCCCCCGGTGCTGACGGCGGTGGCCTCAGAGTGGCGGCCATCTTCTCCGTGGGGCTCTCCATGCAGGGCTCAGGGAGCTGCATGTTCACTCACACCCTCCTGGAGGTGGAAGCAAGAGTCCCACCCATTTCCCATGGGGACAGCCAGATGCAGGTGCAGACAGCTCCTGGAGATCACCCAGCTGGGCGGGCAGAGGAGCTGCCCCTGTGGGGACATGGGAGCCCCGCCCACTAGCTCCTCCCTCCACTCGGCCCACCTGCCCCCCAGGGTCCTACCCTGGGGAGCCAAGCATGTAGGTCCCTACCAAGGAGGACAAGGACAGCTGGTCTTTTCCCAGGAGCCAGACTTCAAAGCCAAGAGTTGCACAGAACCAAAGGCTGTCCCCCTGCCTAGGCCACTTCCTGAGGTGCCATCCTACTTGGCCCAAGTGGCAGAAGTCCCTGCATCCTCCTTGAGCACACCAGGTCCCCTGCCGGGTTGGAGGCTCCACGAGAGCCGTCCACGAGCCTGGTGAGGACTGGAGCCCGGTGAGGGGCCCGCCCAGGGGACGCCAGTTCAGGAGGAGGGTCCACCCAAGGGGGCCCAACCTTCTCTGCCGCCCCTTCCGGCTGTGTCTGAGCCATGGCAATGGCGAGGGGGGTCGCCTTCTTCTCTCACCCAGGGAGCCAGGCGCCCCTTCTCAGTGACTGCACAGAGCCCCGGACATCTGGGCTTTGGGAATCCCAGGGCCGACTTCAGACTGCGCCTCTGCCAGCGTCAGACCCAGCCCAGCCTGGCCCAGGTGCTGTGTGCCAAGGCTGGGCTGCCCGTTTCTATCTCTGGACACTGGGAATCACACCCAGTCAGATTTTCCCACCAAGGTATTCAGGGCAAAATCTGCAACTGTTCCCTGGCCAGCATGGAGGATGCTGGACTCTGTCCCCAGGGGGAGTGTCCTTCCTGCTGATTCTCCTTCCATGTCACCTGCAGTATCTTCTGGTGTTCCGCAGCTTCCAGGAAGGAGCAGGCTGGTGTGAACAGACACGCATGTGCCCCGTGTCAGTGACAGCGCATTCTAGAAGCTGGGCCTGCTAGAAGCAAAGGGACTCTGGACCCCACCTCTTTCCCGAAAGGGTCACAGATGGAACAGAGGGATGGAACCCAAGGCACCCTCTGGCCACCCTTGGGCTCAGACCAGGGTTTGCTTTGGTGTGAGGAGTCCACGTCCCTGGGAGGGACCAGTGGGGCCAGGCCCTGCCCCCACCTCCCAGGCTGGCCAGCACCAAGGAGTAGGGCGAGGCCACTGCCGTGCACTGCTGCCAGGACCGGTCAGCGCCCAGGCTGGGCCTAGCGGGATGGGCTAAACTGTGGGGGAGGCGGCCACACAGGGGCGCCTTCCCCCCTCCCCAGGAGTCTCCCAGCCCCAGGGCAGCAGGCAGGGGAAGGCGGGGTCTCTTCCAAACGTCCTCTATCCTGGGGTCTGTCGTGGACAGCAGTGCAGGAACAGCACTGGAAAGATGCTCAGGCCAGGCCAGGGCCACACAGCAAACACCAGGGCTTGCCTCCCAGACCTCCACGTGGAGCCCTGGGTCCCCCACAAGCTCTCCTGGACAGACTCCCAGGCTGCCCACCCTGGGCCCCACTGTGTCACCCCATTCTGCCTCAGTCACCTGATGTGTTGGGAACCCTCTAAGACGACTCCTCTGAGCCCTGGGCCACCCTCCCAGCCTGCACAGGGTATCCACAGGCTTAGCCTCAGTCTGAGGTGGGAGGAAGCGCGGAGAAGTCGGACCCCAAGCCAATGAGGAGGAAAATGCGCCCCCACCAAGGGCCTGGCGCCTGGCAGAGCCTGGTCAGCCCTGGAAGAGAAACAGATTGGCCCCAGAGGCAGCGGACAGGCGTGTCCTTTAGACACCACACCCCAACGGGACTTCCAAGAGACTGCTGACACGCCCCCCTTGCTCACCGCTGTGCGTGTGCAAAGGGCAGAACAAAATATCTTGAAATTCTCCACAAATAAGAAGTGTTCAGTAAGTCCACGCTGCACTCTTGCTTGTTTCACAAATCTTTATTGGGCAGCCCCCCCACCCCCAACACACTGGGTGCCTGTCCAGAGTCCTGGTGTCCAGCCTGGGAGCCGCTGGGTGTGCAGGAGGCAGACACAGAAGCCATGGGGAGCCACACCCATCAAGGCCATGGCCACAGGGACGCACAGCAGAGGGGTGTCCTCCGGCTGCATGTGCGAGGGCATGGTCAGGGGCTCTGCTGCCCCTGTGGGCAAGTGGGCCCAGGTGGAGGCCCATGGTGGGAATGGAGCAAGAATGGGAGTCTCCAGGGGAAGGGCAGAGGGAACAGCCCAAGTGGAAGCTCAGAGGCAGGTAAGCCCCAGGAACCCTGGGGCATCCAGAGGCTGGTGCAGGGGAGGGCAGAAGTGGGTGGCCAAGGAGAGCTGCCCTGTCCTCACCAGTGTGTGAGGAGGCAGGGCCAGGCATGGGGCACCCGCATGTCGTTCTCCAACTCTTCTTGGATGTGTGGGCCACACCATCCCCCTGAAGCCTCAAGGGTGGAGCATGGAGGGCCACAGGGCGTCCCCAGCTCCATGGGGGGTCTCCTGATGGCCCCTCTGACCATGGATGGGGGCAGCTCCACATGGAAGCAGTGGGAGGGAGAGCTCAGCACCTGGGTCCACAAGCCCTCCCCTTCATGGACACCACCACGACTGCTCCTGGGAGCAGGCCACCCGGAGGCCAGCCTGACCCGCAGTGCCAGGGCTCTGCCCCTATCCCCTGCCCCCTCCCTCTCTCCAAGTTGCTCCCAGACACCAAATGGACCCAGTTCAGCATGCCCCTCCTTTTCTTTCCCCTGTCCGCCCCTGCTGGAGCTGGGAGAAGGTAGGCAGGAGGGGCAGGTCCTGTGGCAGGAGAAGTGCCAGGAGGGAGCCTGCCAGGCCCACTGAGGCCCCGGTCCCTTGGGTCCCCCTGGGCCCTGGCCTTAGGCCAGGACTCTCTCTCTGGACAGCTGGGAGAAGACAGGACAGTAGGGGAAGCAACAGGAAGGGTGAGCTACAGTGAGTGGGGTGTGGCCCTGGAGAGAAGGGAAGGAGAGTCGGGGGCCGCCGAGGGAAGAGGGCAGAGGAGATGGAGCTGTGGGGGGAGGGTGTTGGAGTGGGAGGCAACAGGCAGCTTCCACGACCCCGAAGCCAGTCTTACCTGGACCTTGAGTCTTCATTCTGCTCCTGCCCAGGAAGCTGTGGAGCCAGAAGGGTCTGGGCTCTCTGTCCAGTGCTCTGGAATCCCCAGGGGTGAGGTTGTAGCCTGTCCAACCAAGGGACACCAGCAGACCCTAGGGCAGTGATAGACCTAGGGACAAGCAGGGTGTCCTGGGTACTCCCAGGGCTGGAAGGATTGTGGTCCACTGCTACAGGTGGGCTGGACCTGCCCTGACCCTGCCTTCCACACACGCACCTGTGCAACGTGCACACTCAGGTACAACACATACACACACACACACACACACACACACACACGGCCACCACATCCCAGGAAGGCTTTCCTGGGCCCATAGTGGCCTTTTCATTTTCTGAGACTATATGTGGAAAGTGCCCCAACTCCCTTGTGGGTGGGGGCAGGCCACTAGCCCCAGACTGGCACCTCCCAGAATCAAGGAATCAGGATCTGAAATCGCCCAACAAAAGTTGAGACCACCAAAACCTCTTGCCCTCACCCAGGAGGAGGTGACCTCAGAAGCCCCCAGATCTCTCAGAAACTTACCCAGTAGGGGGCATGGCTTCTTACTTGCTCCTTCTCCCCTCCCCCAAAGAAAGGGGCTGGAAAGGAGCTGATCTGCTAAACAGAGGGGCCCCACTGAATGGGGACACCAAGTGGAACCCCCCTCACCAGTTAGGTGTGGCTCAAGGAAAATTTCCTAATTCACCTGAAACACCCCAGCCCAGGGGTGAGGGGCGCGGTGGAGGCACTGGGGAGAGTGGGAAAGAGACCAGACCGGCTTCCCTCTGGGTGAGAAGTTTCGGGGTGTGTGCCCTGCCCATAACAGCAGAGATCCGCTGACTAGCTGAAAGACTAGGGGGCACATTCACAAGCCCCTCGGACCTCCACACACACTCGGGGGTCTTGACCTAATGGAAATACGTGTCTAGTGGGACAAAAAGGGTCCTGCCCTGGCGGTGAAACCGGAGGGGAGGATCCCCACCCAAGGCGAGTGTCCACCTGCGCGCTGCTGGACTCTTTGCCGGGTGTCCACTTCTCTGGACACGTTCCTTAGCCGCGGAAAGCAAGCCTCCCGCGCCCTATAGGGCCCAGCCAGCTCTCACCAGGGCCCGGGACACAGCGCTGTCCCTGTCTCAAGAAGTTGGGCGGCTCACGGGACTTGGGACTTAAGAGACCAGAGCCCCAGAGCCCCAGACAAGTCCCTGTGCTCAGGCTTTCTGGACAGCCCAACTCCCCAGACCGGACTGAAGCCTCGCCCTGAGGGTTGCATTGGGCTAAGGCAAAGCAGGACTTGCCTCGGAGGACCCCAGGTCAAAGCACGTCCCCACCCCGCCGCCTCTAATCCCTGAGTCGCCGGCCCGATACCGCGCGCAGCGAGGGATCAGAAGGTCTCAGGCGCGGCAGCAGAGCCGATCAGGGCTCCGCAGAGTTGGGGAGTTCCCCGCACCCCTAAAAGCCTCAGCACACGTTCGCGGTTGAAAGTACGCACTTTACGCGTCCCGGCGCCTCCGCGGTGAGTCGGGCCGCCGCACTCCGGGTCCGCGAAGGTGGCTCAGTTCGGGCGCTCCAGTCTCGACGTTCCCGGGGAAGAGAGCAACGTCCGGGGACGAACGGGACGGGTGCGCCCGGCGGCCGGGGCTGCGGCGGGCGAGGCGAGCGGCGAGAGGGGAGCGCTCCGGCGTTCAGGCAACAGCTACCCCTAGTGGGAGAGCCGCCCGGGGCCGGCGCCGCCCCGCGCCCGCTGCCCCGCGCCCCACGCCCGCAGCGCCCTGCTCCCGGGGCCCTCCAGAGCGGACCGGGGGCGCAGGGCCCGCGCTGCTTTCCTGAGTCCTCCCCGTCTCCGGCGCCAGCGCCAACCTGCCCGCGGGCCCTGCCCTCCGCACCTCCCAGATGGACCCTGGCGACCGCTGACCCGAGATCCGCAGCGCTCAGCGGCAAAGAGATGGGACGGGGCGGGCGCGGCCGGGGCTGCGCGGGCTGGGGCGGCGCGCGGCGGCCTCGGGCAGCGGCGGGGGGCGCGGAGCGCGGTGTGCGTGGCGGGGCGGTGCGGGGGGCGGCCGTGTGCGAGGCGCGAGTGTGAGCGCGCGCGGGAGGCGGGCGGACGGGCTCCGGCAGTCGAGCGGCGCCCGCGGGCGAGCCGGGAAGGCGGCGGGAACGCAAAGTTGCCTCCTCGCGGGTCCGCGTCCTCGGCGGGGCGGGAGCCAGGGCCACCGAAGCGGCGGCCGTGGACACCGACTCCCTCGGTACCTGGGCAGCGGCCCCGCACGAGCGGCAGCGGCGTGGGCGGCGTTGGCGGCGGCGCGCGGGAAGCGAACCGGAGCTCCGGCGCGGCGCGGCGGCCGCCGGGGAACTCGGCTCAGGTGCGCGGCGAGAGGGGCGAGGGCCGGAGCCAGGCCGCGGAGACCGGTGCCGCGCGCAGAGCTCGCGCCAGCTGGAGGACCTCCGCCGCGGGCGCCCAGGTCCCCGGTCGGGTTGCTAGTCCCGGGCGGCTGCGGCGCCTGGGTCCCCCGCCCCTGAGAGCTGGCTGCAGGACTCAGGCCCGCCCCCACCGCCCCTGGCCGGACGGCTCCGCCCTCCTCCTGCCAGTGCCCGCCCTCGACCCACGATTTCTAGGGCATTGGCCGCGGCACTGGGTGATCCCTCAGGGCTCAAGTTGCAAGGGGGCGGGCCTGGGCGGAGGTGGAGTCTCCCGCCAATTGAAGCCTCGGCTATAAATTGAGCTCTCTGCACGCCGAAGCCCAGATGCCTCGCCAGGCCGCCTCGCGGTTGGTGGTCGGAGAAGGCGAGGGGCCCCCGGGGGCCTCGGGGCCCACAGCCACCATGCTCCGCTCCCTGCTGCTTCACTCCCTGAGGCTCTGTGCCCAGACCGCCTCGTGCCTCGTGCTCTTCCCGCGCTTCCTAGGCACGGCCTTCATGCTCTGGCTCCTCGACTTCCTGTGCATCCGCAAGCATTTCCTGGGCCGCCGCCGCCGCCAGCCCGAACCCGAAGTGGAGCTCAATAGTGAGGGCGAGGAGGTGCCCCCCGACGACCCACCCATCTGCGTGTCCGACGACAACCGCCTGTGCACCCTAGCGTCGCTCAAGGCCGTGTGGCATGGCCAGAAGTTGGATTTCTTCAAACAGGCACACGAGGGCGGACCAGCGCCCAACTCCGAGGTGGTCCTGCCGGAGGGCTTCCGGAGCCAGCGCATCCTAGACTATGCCCAAGGGAACCGCCCACTGGTGCTCAATTTCGGCAGCTGCACCTGACCACCGTTCATGGCGCGCATGAGCGCCTTCCAGCGTCTGGTCACCAAGTACCAGCGCGACGTCGACTTCCTCATCATCTACATTGAGGAAGCACATCCTTCCGATGGCTGGATCACCACAGACTCCCCCTACATCATTCCCCAACACCGGAGCCTGGAGGACCGGGTCAGCGCAGCAAGGGTGCTGCAGCAAGGTGCGCCAGGCTGCGCACTGGTCCTGGACACCATGGCCAATTCCAGCAGCTCGGCATACGGCGCCTACTTCGAGCGCCTCTACGTCATCCAGAGTGGTACCATCATGTACCAGGGAGGCCGTGGCCCAGATGGCTACCAGGTCTCAGAGCTGCGCACTTGGCTGGAGCGCTATGATGAGCAGTTGCACGGCACTCGGCCCCGTCGGTTGTAAGCAAACAACGGGTCAACTGACTGAACTTGGTGAGCTGGGCCTTCGGGCCTTTGAAGCCCACGTACAAGCACCCCAAAGGAAGTCAAGCTTGGCGAGGTCCCCGTGGCAGATACAATGAGCTGCGGATCTTAGGCTGAGCCTGCCTCCCAGGGACTTCAGTGACTGTCTCTCACTTACACCTACCTGGCTTGCTTGAAATCCCCTTGGCAGCACTGATGCGGTGCTCACCACATCTTGTGTGCCCCCAGGACTTGCTCCTGCAGCACTTTTCACACCTTCCCAGAGCGCCTTTAATCAAGCGCCCAGCTTTTCAGAGAGCAGAGACCTTGGCCACGCCTCGCGCGCCCTGAGCGCAGCTGGGTTCCTGCAGCGCTCTAGGCTAGCGCTAGTTGCCTGGCACCCACCTGTCGCACGCAGGGAGCCCTGCTGCTTTGTGTTTACTTCTTGTCCCTGAGTCTGGGGGAGGGTTTCTTCCGGGATGGGGAAGGGTGGGCAGGGTGGTTTCCCCCCCTTGTTTTAGGCGCGCACGAGCCCCACTGCTGATGACGAACTATCTCTAACTGGTCTTGACCACGAGCTGGCTCCGAACTGCAGGAGGCTCGAAACAGCGCCTAAAGCGAGGTGGGGAGAGTGCTCTGGGTTTCCGTGAGGAAACCTCCGCAAATGGGGTGGGGGTGGGGGCAGGTGATGGTCTGTTTTGAGGCCCGAAGAAGATGGCAGGAGAGGCACTGGCAAGGTTCACAGCGCCCCAGAGAGAGGGAAGCTAGGACTCCTTGGGAGAACAGAGTTTGGGCGGCGGAGTCTGGAGAAAGGGAGGACAGGGGACAGCCTGGGCCCGAGTGAGGTTACTCCTAGGCAAAGCTGCTCATTGCGGGGCCAGGGGATGGAGGGCCCTGATTCAAAGGCCATTCAGTGAGTGTTTGGCTGGAAATATTCCCTGTACATAAACTTCTTTTAAACTAAAATAATAAAGGCTTGAAGTAAACTGCTTTCTGCTTGGCTTTGGTGCCTTTATTTTCTCTTTCCTCTGAGTAGCGACAGGAATTAAACACAAATCTCTCCCTGGCGACCCCATTGTGACCCAGAGGGATTAGGGGAGGATCCTAAACTGGAAGGGGCGCAGGAAGTGGATGAAGTGAGAAGAGGATCTGGGGCGGGCCGGGGCGCCCCTATACACTCCTGCACACACCCAGGCCAGGATTTGGGCAACTGAAGAAGAGCCAGGCAGCGGAGGCCTCCCAGGGTCTTGGAACCGGGCGGGAGAGTCAAGGGGCTCCTCATTTGCGGCCATGAGCGCGCCCGCGCGCGCACACTGATAGTTATGCTGTCCCTGCAGCCGCCCGTCTAACTTCTCTAAGCATCCAGTGATGTGGGGGAGGGGTGGTGGGGAAGGGCGAGGCGGGCTTTGAACCTCGCAGAGCTCTTTTCCCGCCCATGGTGGGTGCCACCACGCACCTGGCTCCTCCCTCGCCCGCTTCCCGCACCTGCAAAACCATCTCCCGCCAACCCCCGCCTGGCTGCTGGAGTCCGCCGGAGGCGCGACTAGCGAAGCGCGCAGTAGTGGAGCAGATCCATCTCTCCAACAGCAGCTCCCACGGCCGGGCCGGGGGTGCTGGGGGATGTGCTCCGCCCAGGACACCCCCTCCTCTGCCTCTCCAAACTGGAGTTCAACCTCACCACCCCCAAACCCCAGCCTGCTCGCGGCTGAGAAGCATTGAAGCGGAGCGAGGTGGAAGAAGGAGGGCGATCAGAAGGCTGGGAGGCGGGGGGAGGGGCGATTCGGGGCGGGGGGAGGGTCGGGGTTTTGGCACAGATCCCGCCTGTGTTCGTGACCAGGTGCTGCAACACAGTACCCGCCTCGCTCTCTTCCCTGCAGCTCTCCGAGTGAGGGAGACCCCGGGAACACGGCCCGCAGCCCCTCTGTTAATGACACTTTTATCTGAAGAGAGGTGGGGACAGAGGAAAAGGGGCTGAAGCGAGAGTTTGAGGATGTGGCCAGCATGGGGCCAGCGGACAGTGGAACCCAGGACTACTAGGTGGCTCGGGCAAGGAGTAGTGTCGGTGCGCGCCTCGGTGTGAGTGCGCGTGCACGGGGGAAGCGTGGGTGAGTGAGGACACCGCGGGAGGGATAGAAGAGAGGCCTCGGTCCAGCCAACTCCGCGCCCAGCCCCCACGCTGCTCCTCCGTGAAAACTTTTTGGAACTGATGTCCTAAATTTGGGCGATTTTTCTTTCTTCTTTTTCCCTCTCTCTCTCTCTCTCTCTCTCTCTCTCTCTCTCTCTCTCTCTCCCTCTCCCTCTCCCTCTCCCTCTCCCTCTCCCTCTCTCCTTTAAAAGTATTTCAATTGAAAAATAACTTTAAGGAAAAAAATCGGCACAGATGGCATTTCAGCGTCTCCTCCCCCCACCCCACCTCGAGCACTTCTCAACCCTAAACTCCCAAGAATACAGAGAACGCAGCAGGGACTCCGCCCGAGTCGGACAGGGCTCGCCCCGAGCTCGAGGCTCGCCGGCTGTCCCAGGTGGGGACTTGGAGACTCGCGGAAGACAGGGGCAGCTGGGTTTGCCCTGGGTCCGGCAGAGCACGATTCTGCTGCTCCGCCTCCCTGCTGGTCACTCAGGGGTACCCTAAGGGCGCGCGGAGCGACCTTTCCTCCTAGCAGAGCTGCGCACACTGGGCCTCCTAGGACTTCCCAGACCTTGACGCGCGCTCAGCGCGGGGACCTTTGGCTCTTAAACACTCCTCACGCTGGAGGGACCCGCTCTCCCATGCCGCCGCAGAGGGGAGAGAACATCTGCCTCCCCAGTTTATTTCTCTTTGTTCCTTCTTCCTTCCCTTCCTTCCCCCTTCTCCTTCATCTTTTTCTTTTTCCTCTGTGCTCCTTTTCCTTCTTTAGCTTCTTTCTCTCATTTCCTTGGAAATCCTCCCTTATTATGAAAATAATGTCTGCTCACTGCGGAGAACAGAAGAATCCAGAGAAGCAATAGAACCAAGGCAAGGTAACCTCTCAATGTGTGCACTTTCAACTCTGTTTTCCCTCCCTGGTAAACAAGAGCGGATTGTCCTTTTGTGGCCTACCATTAACTTTGTACTCACTGGGCACCCCTCTTCCCACGCCCCCGCTCTTTCCATGTCAATAAATCAGCTTGAATGGTAACACCAGGTGGCCAAAAGAAGAGTAAGGGACAACTTGGGGGGGGGCACTCCACGTGTTAAGGATGTTCCCTTATTATGCAGAAAATCAG